CCCCAAAACCCCAAAACCCCGCCTAGTAAGAATCATTTGATTTTATAGATAAAGAATATTTAATAAATCTTTAATTTAAATTCAGAACCTCTATTAATCTTAAAAAATACTATTTAGCTTTTTTATCATCTTTTATTTTTAAATGAATATTAAATACTTATTGGTATTTAAGTTTGCAATATACCTTATCAGATAATTTTCACGATGATTTCTCTTATTTCAGCTTAGCAATCATATCTCTAAATTTCAATAAGTCTGTATTTCTAATCAGAATTTCCAATTCTTATATTTATTAAACTACACATCTTAGAAATATAGCAATACTTTGAATCTATCACTTTGGTCAATTGATAGTTTCTAAGATTAAATAATGATATTGAGTTGTTGCTTTTAACAAATGCAAAAGGATTTTATTTATAGTTATAGTCTTAAATTTTAAATAAATGTGGATAATTTGGACAAATGATGCTTTTAATGAGTTTCTTTCGTTTGATATCAAATATTTTCAAATGATCCTTCTCTGAATAGGCAATAATATCAAGTCTAACTAAAATGATTGATGATACCTACCCTCTATTGACTAATCTTTTGTTATCTTAAATGAACTAATATGAGTATTCACCCTTTTTTATTAGTCTTCCAATAGTAATGCCGTTCAGCACATCACTGAAAACAAAGGTGAATTTATTACCCTCTTATCTAATTAAGCACATTTCATAAATGCAATTTAGATTATTAATTTGAAATATCTGAGTGTATTCCTAATTTAACGTGCTAAAAAGTTATATCTTTCCATAGACTAAACCACATATAAATATATCATCGTTAAGTGGTACAATTATATTGGTAGTATCAAAAGACATATAAATATTTTGTAATATTTATAATTTTTATCCCTCTTATTTAATAATAAGGCTAATATTTTTTAAAAGATCTGCAATTATCAATCTATCACTTTATGCATGAATCACATTTGCTCCAATATCTAAGCTTTTGATCAATTTAAAATCCTAATCAATAATTCTACAAATATATCCATTAGTAATAATCCAATTATTGAAAATGCCAATTCTGTAAATCAATAGACCTTCTTCCTTGTATGTCTTAAACTAGCTTAAGACCTCCATTAAACACTCTTATTAAATATAATAACTTCTTATAAAAATATATATTCTTATAATTTTATTAACAAATTAAATATGGCTATACTGTTAAACGGGGTTTTGGGGTTTTGGGG